TGCAAAGCGCCTTGGCTAACTGATCAACCTATTGATGTTTGTCCAAAAATTATTGATTAACCATCTACCATTTTAGGTTAGTCTTCATAAGAAAAATTGTAATTTGTAAATATTTTGATCTGTTGAAAGCAGAAAAATTTATATTATTTCAATCGTGTTGTTTGCGTGATTGATAATGATAACTGTAAATATCACGATCATATTTTACTTTTCCAGCAAACATTAAATAAGTTGAGTATCGAGATATCTAATATATGATGTGCGGGTCAAATGAACATCTTTAAGTGTTACCTACTACGTCTCGCTTAAGTTGCGCTCAGTATGAATTAAAAAAATAGCGACCATCATTATTGACCTCGTTTATCTTAAGTACCGGATTTAACACTTGCCATCATATTTCACTCATTTAAAAGTTAAAAATATATTAATTGCATGTTTAAAACTTTATTATTTTATCATAGTAGTAAAATAATCGGTTTGTGGTCATCGCGAATACCCTGTAAGGGGCCGTGCCTAAATTACGTAGGGATATTAAGGAGGTAGGGGCTCATTCGTTTTCTTATCGCGGTATTACGTGGGGGAGATGGTGTAAATATACAAATTCTCCCATAAACAGATGATCAAAAGGGTATTGTGATGTTCTTTGAATCAATCGAAGACGATCTGACCTAACTTTTATTAATAAAAAATGTCCGGCCTCCGTGCTACTGATGGTCAAAGTTCTTAAAAAAATATTTTTTCAAATATCGGGAGAACGGTACTATGTATTTTAAGTGAAACTCGCTGTGAAGTTGTTCTTATGTATCATATTTTGATGAAACAGTCGAGTTCATCCGTTTTGAACAAGTAGTGAATTCCTGAGTGTCGTGGTACAAAAACTACCAGCACTTTTTATTTAGTGGATGAAATCAACTAAATTTTTTTAGCTGATGCACATATTTTTTATTCACATTTTTGTGCTCTTTGCAAAATCTTGTAGCATTAATAGGTTTTGCGCAAAAAAAATATTTCTGTTTTCTTGCCACTTAACAATGTTAGACACTAACTGCAAATATCGTGATAGGCGAGGCATAAATTAATTATTAAACTTTTAAAGTTTGCCAATCAATCTCACAAATTCGATTCGAATTACTTTTCTAATGAAGAAATGACCGACATGGTAAAAGTATTAGGGTTTTGTGAAGACAAATTGCGTGAAAGCGTACGCGGAGGGAAAAACATTAGAAGCTCTAGAAAAATCAGATAAAAGGAATTAAAATAAACGGTTTAGCAATCAAGAATTTACGATATGCTGACGGCACCATCCTACAAGCAGAAACTCGAAGAGTCTATAGATTCTTCAAATCTTCCAAAGAAAATTAAAACTACCTATCTGCCTAGATAGCAAATTTCAAAGAAAAGCATGGAAACAACCAAAAGTATAGCCTTGTCAGAGGACAGTGACAACTACCACGTGCATTTTTTTTTAAATCCAAGTGCTAGTGTTAAGTTTTTTTTGTTTTTTGTTTAGTTCTGAAAGTGCAAAAAGAATGGCGCCTAAAACCGCCATGGAAAGGTTGCAGCAGGAGAACGAGGAGCTCCGGAAGGATATACGCAGGTTAGAGGCCAATCTCAGGCAACTAACCGCGATGCTGGCCTGCAGACTTGAGCCCCCAAAACCGGCTAAGACACCTGACAGTTTTAGTGCGGCTGTCAAGGGGGCACCGAAACCCTCGGCGCCCCGCAAGACAGCGGCACCCAAAACAGTACAGGTTTCCCCCAAAAAGCCAGCACCTCACAGTCCCCAAAGGCGCAGAGACGAAAGCGAGGGTGAGGAGGAAACCATCATAATTGAGGTAACGGGGATGGAGACCGACTCCCCAGTCCCTGAAAGGGTGGAAAAAATTCCACCCATCAACATACAGGGACAAACAAGCTGGAGACAGCTGAACGCTGCCTTCACTGCAGAAGGCATCGAAGTGACCAGGGCCGCAACCAACAGAAATGGGGTTGCGGTTACTACTAAAACGGCGGCTGATTTTAGGAAAGCCACCAGCCTCCTGCAAAAGCCCCAGCGACCGTACTATACGTACACGCAGCCGGAGGATAAAAAGCTCCACGTGGTGATTAGGGGTTTGCCACAAGACATCGAAGCAAGTGAGACCGAGAAGGAGTTGGGCATCAAGGACGCGGAAGCGTTCCAGATGGTCAGCAGGAGGACCAAGGAAAGATTGTCTTTGGTGCTGGTGAAGACAACCAACAAGGACATCTGGAATATATCCAGATTGTTCAACTTGACTGTCAAGCTGGAAAGCAAACGTAAGAGCCAAAATCCTGGGCAATGTTTTAGGTGTCCGAGGTATGGACACTCACAGCGACACTGCACCCAGCCGGTGAGATGCGTAAAATGTGGTGAAGGCCACAGAAGCGCAGATTGCCAGCTACCTCGACTAGGCAAAGGGGAGAGCCGCAATTGTAAGTGTGCGCTATGTGGCACCCAAGGGCATCCAGCCAGCTGGAGAGGATGCCCCATGTACCCCAAGAGGAAGATTCGGGTCGCCCGCAAGGAAGACAGGAAATCAACTCCGAAAAGGACCACCCCTCGCAGCAGCACGCAGGAACAAGTAGCAGCAATGGACAGGGAGTCCTTGGAAGCCATTGTCCAGGCGGTAATGGCCCGGCTCCATGCCTAATCGGCCTGACAGTTTTACAGTAGCGTCTTGGAACGTCAATGGGCTAAGGATTCGCCGTCCAGAGCTGGACGAGTTCCTGAACAGCAGGAATCCTGAAGTGGTAGCACTCCAGGAAACCAAGGTAGCAAGTAATATTAGGATTAACATGCAAGATTATGAAGTTTACAGGCACGACGACAGCACCCAACGTGGAAGAGTGGCCCTGCTAATTAGGAAAGACATCGACCACCACAGCATAGGCGTAGAGGACACAGACATACACGCCATCAGCGTCGTGCAAATCAACACCTCCAAAGGGCCAGTAATTGTTACTTCTGTTTACAGAGCCCCTCATGAAGCCCTGAACCTGCTGGACATCCAGACAATGT